TGTTTGGCTCAGGTCATGATCCCGGGGTCCTGGGATTGAGCCCCCCGTTGGGCTCCCTGCTCAGTGGGAAGCCTGCTTCTCCCTTTCTCTCTCTCTCTGCCCTCCCCTCCTCCTCCCCCACCTTGCTCGTACTCTCTCGCTCTCTCAAATAAATAAATAAAATCTTAAAAAAAAAAATCAGTTCATTCAATACATCTTAGCTCTTGCAAATATTACGAACACCTGTGGCCATTCAAACCCATTGCCTATGCAGTGAAGAGCCCTGAAGTTCAAACTTCTCGGTGACCCCACCTCTGGGTTCTGTTCCTAAACCTGCCGGGAAGACAGATGATGGTCGGGCTGGCAGCCAGGGGTGCTTGCCACTGGAAGATGAAACCTGGTTTGGCTATAGCTCCTGGCCCCAGCCCGGGCCCTGCCCCTTCCCAGCTCCCTCTACCTCCTTCCTTCCCTAAGCTGCTTTCAGGAGCTAACTCCCTCTTCATGTACCAGGAACACTCCCCAGAAAAGGAAGCAGTGTTTATGGACACCAGAGTGCTGTCTGCCTGGCAGGAGGCCAAGGACTTCACATCTGTCACCTCTGGTCCACCTGGCAGGCCTGGCCGTGCTGAATCATTGATGAATCTATGAATCAGAGAAGTGCCCCACCCCACACATGCAATGAGCAGCCAAACCAGGATAAAAATCAGGTCAGCTGGCTCGTAGGTCCGGGTGCTCCCCCAGCCGCCCCCAGCAGCCCCTTCCTCCATTTTGGTGTCAGTGGAAAAGATGGCCTGAGCAACCAGGCTCCAGCTGCTGACCTGCTGAGCCGATGCCCCTGGGGCTGCTTCATCTAGTCTGTGTGCGGTCACGGGGCCACCCTCACCAATCTCCTCCCATTCTAGGCAGCTTTGGGGAGCAACAGAGAGGGCCTGGCCTTTCCTTCCCAGAATTAATCCACATAGGAGACCTTGTTCCTTCTGAGAGCTTACATTCTAGGGGCTAGAGCACGAAGAATCTTCAAAGATACTCTTCTTCTGATGGCGTGTGACAATAATGTCCCCCAAAGAGTCATGTTTCCCTGTATCTACACTGCTCACAATGTGACTTTCTCTTCCTCCCATCAAGAGATGGAGTCAAGGGGCACCCGGTGGCTCAGTCGGTTAAGCGTCTGCCTTCAGCTCAGGTCATAATCCCAGGGTCCTGGAATCAAGCCCCGCATCGGGCTCCCTGCTCCTCGGGGAGCCTGCTTCTCCCTCCCCCTCTGCGCCTCCCCCTTGCTTGTGCTCTCTCTCAAAATAAATAAATAAAATGTTAAAAATAAATAAATAAATAAAAGCGATGGAGTCTCCTTTCCTGCCTCCGAATCGGGTTTGGCTCATGACTTGCCGTGGCCAACAGAATTCAGAAGTGACATTGTGCAATTTCTGGGGTTGGGCCTTAAGGTACTGTACCGTGACATGGTTAAAATGATAGTTACATATATTTTATGACATTTAAGAGGTGGGACTTGTGGGGAGAAGGCTATGAAGCTCCAGCTGGAAAATGTTGTTCACCTAAAGTTCTGAGTCTACCACGGGCCCAGTCTGTGTTAAAGGGAAGATCAGCGCTGGTGGGTGGTGATATTACTAGAGACTAGTAGTACTATCTACTTCTAGATGCTACGAGCCTTTCTTCTTGAGATCCCCAGACGGATTGAAAGATACTTGGAAAGACAACCACTTCCTCACTGTGGGACTCTACATCATTTGTGTCTCAGTTCTGCCTAAAGACATCTTAAGGAACCACCAGTAAGCAGGGGCCTCTCACCGGGCAGCTCTCAGCTGGGAGGACAGTGGTGATGTGTTCTGGAACAGACAGGGGAACAGAGGGTCAGACCCTCCTTGGGCAGCCCTGTCGAGGACAGCGGGATCTGCAGGAGGGCTGGGGACTGCCAAAGTGAAGAGCTATTAATGCGGGGGGCTGGACTCCTGACGGGCACTGTCAGAGGACACCCCCTTGCCCTGAAGTCCAATGATATGTCAGGCTCCCACCATCGACCCTGGGCCTTGGGGAGGGGGGCTGTGGTTTAGGGTGAGTCAGAGCACGCCTCCAGAGAACGCAGTGAGGAGGGTGAGCGTGCAGCATCCCCCCGATGCCTCCGGCCGGCAGCCAGAGCTGAGCCAGAACGTGCAGCCGTGCGTCTGCAGACTGCTTTCGTTTGTCCTACACACAGAATAAAAAAAATGCAAGCCAACTTTTGGAAATTGGGAGATTTCACGTAAAAATCCAGACTCCTAGCTCCTCTTAAAGATAAACACACGAGAAGAATGACAAACAAAAAGGAAGGTCCCATAGCAGGGGGCTCGTGTTCCCAGGAGGCAACAAGGCAGCAGGGCTGGGATGCGGCTGTGGCGGAGAGCCCACTGTCCAGTTCCCCACAGCCCTCACCCCTCCCCAGAACAAACGTTAGAACAAGCATGAGTTCTCCCTGGGTGTCAGCCGCATCCTCAGTCAGGCACGTTGCTTTCGCACCTCAGGATCGGCTGCCTGGCGCTCCCTTCTCCTGCAAACCGGTTGGTACTTGGCCCTTAGAGCATGTTTGAGCTACTTCCCTCAACCACTACTTTCAACTGGCCCCTTGGGGCTTCTGGCACAGGACGGGGGCCCATTTCAGGGTCCCACACACTCTGAGGGTCTTGCTTCTGAAGACACAAAGCTCCTGTGGACGTTTTGAGATATGCACTCTTGCAGGCTGGATTATATTTGCGTCTTTTCCGCCTAGCACTAGGGCATGGGAAAGAGAGCTCATTCTTCCAGTTACAAAGCTCTCCTCCAAGTATACAACTTAAAACTTAATTCCCAAGGACCCAGCTGCACTGGCATCTTCCGTCACTTTGGCAGCTGGTGGTACCCCTTTTCCCTCCTCCATACACCAGCCTCTAGCGCCTGCCAGCCCTGCCCCTAGCCCCCCTATATCCCAGGGAAGTCCTCTCTCTCCTGTGCCCAAATCTGGAACCATCTACTCCTGCAGAGGCCTGCTCAAGTGGAATAGCATACAAAAATCGGATTTCAGGGTACAAAGGTAATCAGGGAATGTTAAATATTAAACCATGTGCCAAAGAGCCCCTGTGTGCAAATGCTCCCTCCCCCTTTCTGAGTCTACCAGGGATCTTAAAGGGTCTCCCACCAGAGCCTCACTGCCCTTGCTAACTTCTAACCTAACCCCTCTCAGGCCCTGGGGAAACAGACTTCCATTACTTTTATTTAGCACCTCCTGAAAAGATAAAAATGGCCTATCAAGAAAGAAAAAGAAACCTAGCAGCTAGATGTCTTATCAAAAATCACCAGGGAAAACATGCTGGATATGGCAGTTATAAAAAAGCACCCCTCCAAGTCTCTGTACCTGGGGATCCTCAGCTTTACCACTGGGTCCTCAAGAATGAGGTCACATTTTCATTTTTATTTTTTATTTTTAAAGATTTTATTTATTTATTTGAGAGAGAGAGACATAGAGAGAGAGCAGGGGGAGTGGGAGAGGGAGAAGCAGGCTCCCGGCAGAGCAGGGAGCCCGATGCGGGGCCCGCTCCCAGGACCCTGGGATCATGACCTGAGCCGAAGGCAGCTGCTTAATGACTGAGCCACCCAGGCGCCCAGAGGTCACATTTTTAATTTTCCTAGTCCCCGCCCTTATTCATTTCTACAGCAAGGTGTGCTGTCGGGCAATGTCCCTCTGCCCATGCAGCCCTCACCTGGATGCCCCTGAGCATGACCCTCCCACCCCTGCTCCTCATCCACAGACTCACCTTCTCCGCGACAGACTCTATCAACAGCAGGGCAGACATCTGCGGAGTTACCCTGGACGCCCACCTCTTCCCCACATCCAATCAAAGCTCAGGTCATCAGCCCCGCTCCAGTCCCTCCTATGTAACTAAGACACAAATGTAATTATGACCCTCCCCTGCTCAAAAATCTCCCATGGCTCCCCAGGGCTGCCACGTTAAAGTCTAAACTCCTTGGCTTGGCACTTGCAGGATCCTCTCTGGCTCCAATCTACTCCCCCAGTTTCATTGTACAACAGCTTGAATACTCATGATTTCCCAAGCATACCATGTCTTCCCAGACCTCTGAGCCTTTGCATATGCCATTCCCACAGGGTAGAATGCCCTGCTCTTGTTTATTTGCACCAGGCACATTACTTACTGTAAAAGTCAGGTCCAAGGCCACTTCCTCCACGAAACCTGCCAGGCAGACTGAGGGACCCCTTCCTTGGACCCCTTGGGGGCTCACAGCTGAAGGCAAGGGTACCACCACCTTTTTATCTGTTTCAGCACTTAGCGCCACCTTCAGAGCACAGGCGTTCAGTAAATGTCTGACTGGCCCGTCCCTCGACTTCTGCAGAGAGGAAGTTCTGGAGTCAAAGCCATGGGCTGCGTCCTGGACTAGCCACCTTCCAGCTGTGTCATCTTGGGTATCTTAACCTCTAGTGCCCCGGTTTCCTTGGCTGAAACATCACAATTCCTGCTTTATGGCGTGGTTGTGAGGATTACATTGTGTGTGTGTGTGTGTGTTGGGGGGGGGGGTGATGGATAGAAAGCACCTCCCTGGCTCAGGAGGGCCTTGCAAATGCCAGCTCCCCCTCTCCTCCATCTGTCCTGCCTCCTCCAACCTCCAAAGCACCTCTCTACATGACTGGCAAGGAGAGGCTCCTAGAAATAAGAATCAGATAAATGAGCACTCCACTCCCCACCCCCTACAGCTTCCACGAGGTGAAGACACCTTCAGCCCAGGAGACACTGGGTCTGGGTCTGCTCATGAGCTGTTAGTGTTGGAGGCTGGATGACCATCCTCTGTGCATAATGGGCTCTGATGCCGTTCTGTCTCCACTCCTCCGTCTGCCTTCCAGGTCCACGGATACCTTTTTTCTCTGGAAGGAGCTCCTAGAGAGGGTCCGACCCCCAACCCCCATTCCTGTTCCCTCATGCCATCCATCCGACTAACGCCACACACTCATCTGGAGCCGACCCAAGTAGACACAAGCCCGACACCTTGGTACAATTTTATTCACAAACTCCAGACACCCAGGCTTGGCCTGGCACAAAGGATGTGTTCTTGCCAGTGACAAAAAAACGGATACAGCACGTTCATTAATACTAACCATTTTAATTTAAATTAATAGCATTTCTGGAAGACAAATGCAGTTGATAGAAAATATAAAAACTTTCACTGTACAAATTTTACATCACATTCAAAAAAAGCAAGTGTGCGCCCGTGGCCACGGAGGACACTGGCTTTACATACACTAATGAAATCCGGGCTAACGTTGTAGCATCACACGAGCTCCCTAACGGCTTCACATTTATGTCTCCGCCAGGCCCCCTAATCAACACGGAACAGCGATGCAGGCGTACAGGGAACACGGCTGCCCCCTCGGATCACAAAGAGAATGCCACAAGAGGACAGAGGGATTCCGGCGCCCTGCACCGACTTGGTGACACGGAGAGGTCAACATTGCTACACCGCCCGCTACCAACGGGGAGCTTGATTGAAGACCTCGAGCTGATGGAGAGCCAGGGGCTGCGGCTCTGGGGGTTAAAGGCAGAGGGGACACGGGCCCTAGGGTTTTGGAGGGGATGCTGGGGACTGGGGCTGTGCTGCGAAGGACCAGAGCTTGGGCTCCACTCTCAGACCCTGGTGGGGACCTCTGCAGCCCCCACAGGTCTCGCCGAGGAGGGGGTCCCAGCTTCTCCATCCCCTTCACAGTTGGCCGTGAGTGCTGAATTCACAGTATCTGGCCGTCCTTCATGTGTTTCCATGGCAGACAGGGAGAGCACACAGAAGGGCAGGCACGTCTTCCCAACCTCAATTCACAGTCACTTTGACAGGGAGAAGGGGACCACGTTTCTCTTAAAGGACAGGCAGCACAGAGGCCAGGCCAAGAGCGGGGTGGCTGTCCGGGGTCCTGAAGAGGAAGGGCCTGTCCTCCAGGCCTTCAGCAACCCCTCAGGGTTCCTGGCTGAGCGTCAGTTCCTTAAGGGCAGGGACCGTGACTGCTCCCATCGCGGGGTCCCCTACACTTGCTCAAGACACCGTCAGTGCTCGATGAAAGCTTCTTGAACTGACCCATAGGCGTGACACCCATCGGGGAGGCCAAGGGATGAGGGGGTGAAGCCAGCAGTCCCACAGAAGAGGAAAGACCCCCCCCACCAGAGCTGAATCCAGCTGGCTTACATCTCTGGTCTTCCCCATACACACTGACCGGGAAGGGTTAAGGAGCTCAGGTCTGGGGCGTGGATGGGCAGCGGGAGCCTGGATACCTCACACTACTGCACAGCTGTGCTCTCCAGGCGAAGGTGGCCCGCCTGAGGGGCGCTTGACTCAGGAAGGCAGCCCTACCACTTCTAGGCAGTAGCCTGCTTCGTCTGACATTTTGGCCAGACTCCAGGGAAGGCTCTGAAGATTGGGAGCTTTGCTAGGTGGGTCTAAATGAAAGGGATGGGAGGGCCACATGCCCCCATCTTGGCTCAGAGCACGGACACAGGTTCTGGGTCTGAATCCAACCACATCTCCACCCTCATCACCCTTGGTCAGTCCTGGTTGGAAGCCTAACATGGCGTAACACCCACTAAAGGCTTCTTTGCCATTTGGAACTGTTCTCCTTAGGTGACAGCTTCTAATGAAGATAGGCAGGATGTGCTCACATCATGATGGACATCCCCCAGTCAAGCCCCTCCTTCTGGTGCAAATATACATGCACAGATGGTCCTGACTCGGTTCAGGGGAGGCTCTGAGGCCTGGTGGACTGGGTGGTCTAGATCAACAGTGTGGAGGGGCACAGGCCTCCCGCCTTAGCTAAGAGCTCAGAACAAGGACAGTGGAAGAGTCAGGCGTGGCTATGGGCTTCCAACAGGATTGGAGGAGAAGGGGTGGGCAATTCCAGAACCTTGGCATGACTGATGGGGCTTCTGAAGAGCCAGGTCACCCTGTGGCTGGGAGGGTGGGCTCAGGAACCTGCTGCCTGCCACTTCTCCCTCCCCCTCCCCTCTCTGTTCTTCCTGAGCAAGCCTTCATGGTACACGCAGCTGCCAGGCTGGGCCTTAGCTCTGGGGTCAAATGTCAGCCAGGACTGGGATGGGTCTAAAAAGCTGAAGCCCTGAGTGCCATCTCCTTGGTGTCTTCCTGGAAGCTGTGTGAAAGAGACCTCTCTACAGGTGCCGGAAACCCTGGCCACCAACCCCTGGATCAATCCAGACATTACTTGGATTTAATCTGTTTCAACTTTTCCAGCAGGTATGGGCCGAATTATTGGGGTCAAAAGGGAACCCAAGCCCTCTGGGAACTCCTGACCCTCATAATCCAGCTTGGTTCCTAGCCAGGGTTTCCTTTGCCAGAGGAAAAAAGGACAGTGTCCCTTTGTTAGGATAGGAGGAAAACCCTACAGGGACATTCCCCACGGATGGGGTTTAGGGCCAAAGCAGAGTCCAGGTCAAACTTTGTGGTCCCTATCCCACCCCGAGAACAGCCACAGTCACGATGCTTTTCTTCCTTTTCCGCACCGCCGCCAGGATCCTCCAGAGGGGAAGGCCAGTTCCGCCATCCCGGCCAGTGGTGCCAGAGTGCCTCTGTGGACCACTTTGTATTATTATCTGTTGTAAAGCATTGAGTTCACGCCCCAGAAACATACATGTAAACATTCGCTGCCTGTTGGGGCAGGTCTGGTTGTTGGTGAAATCACTTTAAGAAACAGCAGGTGCAGCTCTATCTCCCGGTGTTTTTGTGGATGAACATGTGAGTGGAGGACTCACACTCCTGGTCTGCAGCACTTAGGAGGGTGGACCGATGTTTCAAAGAGTGTTTTTGTTTGTGTCATGGTGGTTATTTGGATGCTTTAGAAACACATTTAAGAAAGAAAGAAAAATCGGCAGAGAAACTGCATGGCTGGCTACATCTTTGGATTACTGGACTCCAGGACACCCAAGCCAAACCTTTCAAACCGGGGTACAACTTTGCTGCTGTTAATGCTGCAAAGAGGAACAAAAACATGGGTTACAGCCACACTGGTCTTGATCGGAAGGAAGTAGGATAATGTTAGCTAAGGAGCGGGCCGGTTTCAGAAGCTCCACAGAGGACCCGCCCTAGCAAGAAGCAAGAACGGCTGCAAGCCAACAGCCTTGGCAGAGCTGCTCCTGGTCAGACTTGGCCGGGGTGCAAACACTTGGCACATCCCTCCTGGGGGACATGAGCTGGTTAGTGACACAGTCCCCGGCACCTGGCAGGCTGTCATTGCCGTGGGCTCGACTGAGCTACTTTCTCACTTGCGGCCCAGGAGGGCTCTGCTCCGAGTGCAACTGGGAGAAAAGAGAAACCGGACCCCAAGTGCTGAGAGTGGCCTCACACAATCCTTCTGGAAATGGTCCCCAAACATTGCGGGGAGGGGGGCATCAGGACCCTCTAGGAGGCAAGTAGAAATGCAGACTCTCAGAACATGCCTCCAAAGACCTGGACTCCTTTGGGGGGACCCTGGAGACCTGCATTTGGGAAGCAGCACAGTGATTGTGTGTGGCCTCTCAGCCACACTCTTGAACACTGACTTGGGGTCTGGTACTTTCTGTCTGTAAAGGGAGTAACATTGTGGGGACTGGCAGCAGAAGCTTTGCTCTCGTCAGTGAAATTGTTTGGCGACAGGCCCCCTTTGTTTTAGGACCGCTTTCCTGAGGGCACCGCTGTGGACAAAGCCCTTCCCAGCTAGTGTCTTTCACAGCAACGGGACTTTGGCGTCCACGCCCTCCAGCGCCCCTCCAGAGAGGGCTGGCCTTGGGCAGCTCTGAAATCATCCCACTCCTTGTTGGACAAAACCTTGCAGGTTAACAGCCAAGCAAAAGCCCTGCCCCGCACTGTGGACCCAGCCAGTGGGAGGCCGATGTGCTTGTGGGGGCGGGGGGTGCGTGTCGGTCTCACGGGGGTGTTAGTGGGGAGACAGGGACACCTGGGCGCTGCCCCCAGAGGAAGAGTTAGAGAATGAAGTCCCGTCTGGGGGAGGCACCTCTGCTGGGCGGGGTGGGGGGGTCTGTTAGGAGGTCCTCGTGGACAGTAGTTATTCAAGCACACGCAGGCCATGGAGAGGGGAGGGGGCCAGTTTGAAAAACAACAAAGCGAAAGAAGAAGTCTCGGGAGACGCCTGGAGCGGCAGAGATCGCATCCCCTGGGTTAGTGCCCGCACATCAGTTTGCGTTTGAGCGGAAGTCACGGTACTGGGTGTCGATTAGGAGGAAGAAAGCCCCCGGTGCATGCAAGGCAGCCAGGCCTACAACCTATGGGCAGAAAGAGAAGAGAGGAGAACATAGTCAGAACCCGAGCCCATGGAGGGGCAGGGGGAGCGACAGAGGCCTGGCCAGGGCAGAGGGTAGGGGACCCACTTTCCCTGCAGAGAGGGAAAAAGGCGTCCCCACTCCATTCCAGGCTTGGCAGCACAGTGAGCTCAGGAGGGCCCCGGCACAAAGCACCTGTCCCAAGCTCCCCCGGGACAGTCACAGGATGTTTAGACAGAGGTTGGCCGATGGACCCCTGGCCCCTCAGCCCTTGACTATCAAAACAGACCTCCGGAAAGTTCACTCTTCCTGCTACTGCATTCCCTTCTTTAGGCTCTGGTCAAAGAGCACCCTGGAGCTGGACCAAGGCTCCGAGTTCTCTCCCACCCCGGGCCGAGCCGTCACCTGCCACAGTGGGTGGAGAGGGGTGCTGCCAGGTGCTATGGGCTCGCTCGGCCCGGCCAGAACCCACAAGCCCACAGGACCCTTGCCGGTGGCCATTTCGCCTACGAGAATACCATCTTGGCTTAGGGGAACAAAACACATAAAAACGGGGAAGCCGGATGCAGAGAGAGAACAGGAAGCAGGGAGCAAACAGGCAGAGAATGAGGGGAATAATGGAAGACACACTATTCCTCCAGAGCCGGACAGGAGTTCTGGAAGTCCAGGTGGCCGTCACGCCCTTTTCCGTAGAGGCAGCTCCGCCAGCGACTGGGGGTGGCCCGCGACCATTGGGCCAAGTGCGGGAGGAGCGCAGTCCCCAGGTGATGGCACCGGAAGCAGACGGGTGGGGGAGGAGGCAGGATGACAGGGCGTGGAGGGACGGCAGCACCGGCCAGAGCGTCCGCCACCCCCCGGGAATAAAAAAGCAACAAGACAGATGGAAAAAAAAAGAGAAAATGAGAATTAGAGGCGGAATGTGTTGAAGGAGAAATCATGAACTGGCAGGAAGCACTGACTGAGAGGCTCATTCAGGTCAGCTGGCATGTTTCTCCCCAGTGGCTAACACGGATGGCTCTGGGCAGGGAGCAACACCCATTTGTGGTTCTGTCTCCCACCTGTGAAATGAGAAGGTGGGGCTATGTAGTCCTTAGGGAATCTGGAATCACCATCTCCTGAATACCGGACCCACCTAGTGCAGCCTTCTCTTCTGTGGAGGACAAAACCAGGGCCCAGGATATTAAACACGGTGCCCCGAGTCCAGGGGAACCCCAGTCTCCTGGCCTCTGCCAGGGTAGCTCCTGCTGGAAACCCAGTTCCAATGAGCCCTCTTCTGGAGACCCTTTCTCAAGCTCTGGGTGGGCAGACGGGGCCCTGTGCATGCTCCCACAAAGGCTGTTTTTTGTCACAGCACTTAGCATGTTAGCGTCATTCCCTCATCCCTTCACCAATTACACTGCAAGCTCCCGGCTGGCCTTGGCCTGGCCTTGGCCTCTGTCTCCCCAGCTGTGTAGCAGGTACTCAGCAATGGCTGGGTAGAACCCACACCTCCAATGGCAACATTCTGTTGCACCCTATTTGCACTAGACTCTGACCCATCTTAATATGGACACTAAGGTGGCATTCTAAAAGACAGTATTCCCAACCCCAAACTGTCATTCCTCTAGGCCGTCCCTGCACATGGCCTAACTCAGCAGTTTATCACATTTCTTCGGTGAGTTCTCCCACCTGCATCCTCTGGTTGGGTGACCCATGCTGGGTCCCCCCCTCACCTGTAGCTTGAAACCCAGTTTGGTTTGTTTTTAAGATGGGCCAGCCAACTATATCTAAGCCAAATCCAGCCACAGAAAGATTGATCATTTTAAAGGTTACAAAAAAAATCAAAAACCAAAAAAACCAAGAACATATGATAGACATCATATGACCCACAAGCCTAAAATATTTGCCAACTGGCCCTTTCTAGACTAGGATGAATGCTGTCACACTCCTGGGCAGCAGGTGGAGATCCAGGTGCACCTTCTCCAGGGGCTCAGTGATGGGACGGCAGGTGCCCCAGGAGCCACCTTGGGTGTGTGGACAGGCTCCTGCCCCCTCAACTACCAAGAGCAGCTCCACTTTATCTGGCTTATATAATGGGACTCTGGGGGAGATCACACTTTTAGAAAGTGCCCTTTGCCTTAAAAAAGTTTAAAACCATTCCTATTATTCAGGGGTCTTTTCACGAATGCACTGCTCAACCCGCTTCCACACCATCCACAAACTAAGAATGGTTTCTGCCTTTCTAAATGGGTTGGGGGAAAAAAGTCAAAATATTTCATGGTATATGAAAGTTGCACGAGGGGCACCTGGGTGGCTCAGTCGATAAGCGTCTGCCTTGGGCTCAGGTCATGGTCCCAGGGTCCTGGGATCGAGTCCCCTATTGGGCTCCCTGCTCAGTAGGGAGCCTGCTTCCCCCTCTGCCTGTGCTCTCTCTCTCAAATACATAAAATAAACATCTTAAAAAAAAAAAAAAAAGAAAGCTGCATGAAATTCCAGTTGGCACATCCATAAAGCTTATTAGAGCCCCGCCAGCTTCCCGGTTTGCACGCCGTCCCTGGTTACTCCTGCACCAAACGGCAGAGCTGAGTCCTTGCGACACAGGCCATACTTGGTACTATCACAGCTTTGCGCTGCTGCTGGGACCGCCACAAATCCCAGGCCGGCGCTGTGACTCCAACTTCCCTCCTCGCCTGCAAAGCCTAACGCAGTCCCCACGCTAGAAGCCCACTCCCTGATCTGGCCCCAGCCCCACTTTATAAAGCTGCCGAACTAGGCCTAGAACGAAGGACTTCCTCAGATTCCCACAAGGGGTTCGCAGCAGGGCAGAGGTCTGCTTTTGAGTGTTCAAGGAGAGAGAGAACCAGAGGGACAGAGCAAAAGGGGAATGAGACCGAATGTATAGGAGGTGCGAAGGTTGCCTGGTACCAAGGGGCACAAAGGACTGTGTGATTAAACAGAAGGCAGATGGACTTCCAGCATCAGAGTAGCACAGAAACTCAGGCCACGTGGTCCCCATCCCAGGTGGCTGATTTGGGGGCTAGCAAGCCGTCTCGAGTCTGCACCCTTTTAAGTCAGAGCTGCTCTGGCTTCCAATTGGCCCTATCTGGCCCCTTCCAAGGCAGACTCCTCTTGTCCAGGCCTAGCCTGGGCCCAGCGTCAGCACTGCTCTGGTAACAGGGATATATAGGTTTTCACAGAAGAGGACTGGAGACGCTCGTGTCTCAGGAGTCTCTGAAATAAACAAGATCCTAGTATTTCTTGGGCAAGGGGACGAGTCTAGTCCACTCCGGCAAATCTGCTTTGTGTATTCCCCAGACCAAAGTCTTATGCAGACAGGGTGGACGGTGCCCTTTAAGACACCAGGTGAAGCTGCAAAGGCCCACCGAGGGGCTACTTACTCAGCAGACTTCCAGAAGTGGCCGGGGTGGGAGAGCCGCCGGTTCAACTTGGGCAGCTTCTCCAGCATGTCCATCAGCAGGGTGAAGCTGGGCCTCTCCTGCAGGTCGAAAGCCCAGCAGGCAGATAGGATCTCCTGCAAACAGAGCCAGCAAGAGTGGGGGTGAGAGCTGGCTGGAGGGAGGAGGGCACAGCTCGGGTACCCTGTACAGGGACCCTTCGATGCTCTTGAGCTGGGACCACCTCCATCTGGTGGTCCCCTGAAGAGCCTACCCATATTAAGAAGATCGGTCAGGCCAGGAGTAGGGCTGAGAAAGGATCTCAGAAAAGCTCTCATGCTTTCAGTGGAAAACAAAGCTCCTAAGCTTTCTCCCCTTTCCTTCTTAGACCGCCCTGGAATAACAGGAACAAAACTGAACAAACAACTAATAGGAAAGAGATCAGAAAACGGATTGTAGGGGCGCCTGGGTGGCTCAGTCGGTTCAGCATCTGCCTTCAGCTCAGGTCATGATCTCGGGGTCCTGGGATCAAGTCCCACATCGGGCTCCCTGATCAGCGGGGAGCCTGCTGCTCCCTCTGCTTGTGCTCTCTCTCAAATAAATAAAATCGTAAAAAAGGAAAGACAAGAAAAGAAATGGGGTTGTAGATTTTTCGAAATGGAAAGCAGAAGAGATGTCAGATGCTCAGAATATATGTGGGGCGGGGCTGCAACAGAGATGGGAGCCTCAGTGTTACAAGAATGGAGGCTGGGAGTGACCAGAAGGATGAAAAAGAGTACAGCACTTGAGAGTCAGCAGAACACCTGTCCCGACTGCCCCCTAAGGGGCATCAGGGTGGCTCAGGTGGTTAAGCGTTCAATTCTTGATCTCAGCTCAGGTCTTGATCTCAGAGTCGTGAGTTCAAGGCCTACCCTGGCATGGAGCCTACTTAGGGAAAAAAAAAAAGGGAGAGAGAGAGTAAAGCTCCTCTCACTTTGGTAGCTTGCTGCCTACTGTCTGGATCTGCACATTTACTGCATACCTTTCAGCCTTTCAATTCAGGAGAGCTCCCATGAGAAAACAGGCCTGCCTACATAACCAAGCAGAGAGTGCTCACCCACTTAGGCTCAGCAACTCAGGTTTTTGTTCTTTTTTTTTTTTTTTT